TATGTCAGATCTCATTAAAAACGCACCCAAAACCCATTTTAGTGGAAGCCAAGTCTTAAGAAGAGAGTTTAGAATTTCAAAAAGTGAAAAACAGGTGGCTGCAAGAGATTGGAAGTTTGGTTTTGGATGGTAGAAGAAAAACTTAGTTTCAAAAACTTACGCCACTTTCTGCATGCAACCATCTTCTTCAACCTTCTGAGTTATTCTAGTAAATCATGATCTTAGTCTTCTAAGAAATTGGTGGTGAGCTATTATGTTCAAGCTGTGAACGTTCAATCACGTTAAGAGGTAAAAGAAGCTTATATAATTTGATTTATATTCTTATTTGAACGTTGGTATGTTTGCATGATATGTTGTTTGGATTATTGGTTGAGTATGAAATATGTACGTGCTGCTTGTTTGGAAGTATGGATGGATGACTGATGCATGTTATGAATTGAGTTGAGATAGAATTGATATTCAAAATGTGATAGTATGGTCGAATGTTATTAGCGAGCGTTCGATTCTTCTTGGGAGTATCTGGTCCTACCTTAGTTCTCATGTTTTGAGGATAGAGTATAAGAGTCTTCTTGTAATACTATATAGGGTTAGTTAAACTTTAATCTAGAGTTCATATTAACCATTATGTTACTCTTTAAGCGTCCGTCTACATTAAGTTCTTCTTCTACAAAGAATTTCGTTAGTGGAGTTCGTTTTATAATAAGAGATATGTATATATGAGTGTTCAGTCTAATTGTAGTCCTCCTTTAGACTTCCTAAACAGCTTTATGTGAGTTTATTAGTGATCGGTCTTGGATCAAGCGTTCAGTCTTAGTAGCGCTCGTTCCTGATAAGCATTTGGTCTTAGACCAGCGCTCGTTCAATAGTGTTCAGTTTCTACAGGGCTCGGTCTTAAACCAAGCACTGGGTCTCGTTTTCTGAGATATATTATTACTGTGCTTAGAATCAGAGTTTTCTTTCCATCTAAATAGCGTCCATTACTCCATCGTTTCTCATCAATATTAGTATTTAGTGTGAACCAATGTTAGTCTTTAAAAGGTGTTCGACCTAGAGTCTTAGTACTCGACCTAGGCTTTGTGGCGTCCATTTTGAGCTCTTAGGGGTTTGATTATGGAAGTGTTATTCCAGTTGAACTTATGAGATGATGAGAGAGTGTGATTGTAGTTCAATCGAATGTATTGATGACGAAGTATAGGATAATTGAAATGTGATGTGAATGAAATAGTGTGATTATGAACGAGTATTCCATGGAGGAATATCTCAGAAAGTGGTTATTGATTGATAAAGTATGAATGTGGGCATGCTAAGCTGGCGTTCATCCTAATATTCCATGATTTCTCGTTCTCATGTAGAGAGTAAGTCACGTGTGAGAATGGTAGGAGGTCCTAGTCCTTATGGTTAATTTGGATGGAACAGACTAAGCTCGGGTGACAGTTGTTGAGGGTATCCCAGTTACTACATCACCCGGGTACACGAACGTCGTAACTACACATGATTCATACAGTCCGGACAGTCAGAGTCATGTGGTCGTTATTTGCATGTATGGAAGTATGAGTTATGATGTGGTTATTGTTGGGTTTGTTATGAATGTTGTTATTGAAGAAATTAAATTACATAAGCTTACCCTGTTTATCATTTTGTCTTTGTTGTGCGTCCTGTCATTGTCCTGTTGCAATGATCATCCGTGTGGATGTGAGCAGAAGGAGAATAGCTGCTGGAAGAAGTGTTGGAAGACACAGCGAAAGTGAAGGCCGAACCTTGAGAGCATTCAGTCTGTTGTTAGCTTTCTTTTGTAAGGACCGTGCGGTATTAGTATAGTTTGTACACCGTTCGGTCTAGTAGTAGTAGCTAGCATACTTTTAAATCCCTTGATATTTATGTAAGGCCGTTCAGCCATAATTCGTAGCTCGTTCAGTGTAGAACTAGTATGTAGTATTGTTAACATGTGATGATTCTATGTAGTATTGTTAACATGTGATGATTCTCGTATATGGTTTTATACTGTATTTTTTAGATGTTACACTGTAGAAAAAAAACATAATTTATAAGAAGTTTGGAACTAATAAAATCTTATATAAAGTAAAAGATAATAAAAATTTACCACATTTATTATAAATTAGTATGATAATAATATTAATATAGTAAATAATCATATATTTGATGGATATGTAGTATAAAAAGATATTTATGATGTAATCAAACTATCTATATGATCATATATTTTGTTTATATATAATAATTATTCTAACAAATACTTTTGTAAATATTATTTAATCACTTTATATCAATAATATTAAATGAGTATTGTTGAATTGTGTTTTTTTAAGTATATTTGTTACATCATTATGTAATAAGTTCCACAAACTTTGAGAGTGAATTTGTTACGACAATAATTGATCCTTTCACCGAATATTGATTGGTTTTATGTTTCTAAGTGAATTGGTTTTTTGATTGGCTTATAAGATGTCATGTTTTACCATAGTCTGCGTATTGACACTGATGGATTGAGTTTGCCATAGTCAGCATTTTTTACCCTAGCTAAGTTTGTAGAACATTTGATGCCTAAGAGTGCTTCGAGGGATGCAGAAATTTACTAAAATTGAAAATGACACAAAAAGTCTGATTCATGCACTAGAATTGACAAAGACGAAAATAAAAGTTCTCCATGGTACTCATTGGACTGAAAATTTGTCAAATAGTGTGTATACTTCTCTCAATAACTTTTAATATTACTCAAAAAATATGTTTAATTCTCAGTGACATCTTTAGAAGATTTGAACTCTAAAAAATTATAGAACATCTACACCCTGTCTTTTGTGGCCTAAAACATTGTTCTATTGTCCAATCTAATTGGTACCTAATTGATTACCTAACTAAATTTCCAACAGACATGTGCTGATAATTGGAAATACATAAATATATACAAATTTAATGATTCCGATAAATTCATGATGTATATGCCATGTGATATTAAACTTCTAACTCTTCCGAATTACCATGGCCTTGCACAATCCTCATCATAGTTGTAATCATATATAATATATAAATGCATTTTGTCATCGTTTTATAATATAGATTTCAAAGAGTCTAAGTTTCTAAATTTAGAAAGGTGTATAAAACAACAAAAGGAAAACTATAAGACAACAAACAAAAAATTTAAAAGTGACATTTTTAATACGATTTAGCACAACAAAAATACATAACTAATAAACAAAAATACCTCAGTTGAAAGAATGTTTGTCTCATGGCCAGTCCCAAATGGTAAAGGCAGCGACGCCGCTCCACAAGGCAATGGAATATGAGACCACTCTAGCGGAGATGCCACCCCTAAGGGCAGCTCCGTCACGCCGGAGAATTGTTTTATGACGGTTACTTGAGAACATGCAAACACAATTTGTTTGCCCTCAAAAAAGTGCGAGACTCCAGATCAGAAATCTCCCGTCAATGATATTATATCAAACAGAATAACACAATCATTACAATAACAACTAATCATATAATACAAACAATATCAGATAATCAGCTCGGGAAAAGAATTCTCATTCTCATTGATTATTAAAATCTCTGAAGTCTGACATGTGAATTTTATTCTTAAATCATCATAGCAGAATAATATGTAAATAAAACAAAATTAAAAAAAGTTAATCGCAAAAAGTAATTACGTGAATAACAATGAAAAAATCATCACGGTAATTCAGAAACACGGACCAATGTAAAAATCATCACATCTCCTTACTGATCTTATCGAATAGAAATGAAAAGAAGGGGAATGCAAATTCAAAATTAGAAAACAAAAATACAAAAGAACCTATTTCAAACAATAGAGACAGTAGAAAATCAATCATCAGAGACTTAAATACAAGGAATCATGGAACGAATCCAATCATATTGTTGCAGTTTTTTTCCTCATCACATGATTTTAAAAGAAGGGAAGAAAATAGCATACAGAAACATTAATCCTAAAATTGGAGACAATGAAGAACCCTAATTAGAAGGAATCGATGGTTTGATCGTAGAGAGACCTGAAACCTCAGCAGATTGAAGAGGCAAAATATTGAGACACTGTGAGTTAAGCCCTTGCTTTGCTTATTTATAAACAAAGACATTTGAAAGGTGAAGCATCTAAAATTGAAAGATTGGTGTGGAATGGGCCGGGTCTTGATAATTTGGGCCTTTTCTCTCATATGTTGACTCTCTTCATTCATATAATTTAGCTGTCTCTTAAGGGTTTTGGGAAAATTGTAGATTGTAGTGTACAAAATAAAAATGAGAATTAATAGTTACTCATTTTGACCTTTTTTGAAATATTTTTTTTATTTTCATCTTTCTTAATTCTATAATCACTGTTTTTTGTTTTTATCATTCAATTCAGGTAGATAAATAATATTGGTTTAGGAATTCAAAAATTAGATATTCAAGTGTTAATATGGTAGCATAAACAAATGAAACAGAACGTAAAATAGTGTCAAAGTTCACAGTATTGAGAATCTAAAAAGGCTGACTCCGGTAAAATTCAGACTTATTCTAAAAGTAAAACAAATCATGGATTGTTGTTGTTCATTGTTGTTAGCCGTTGAAGTTACATCACCTAAATAATTTCCTGTCATTCTCGTCCCCGTGCTGTCACTATTGTTGTTTTTATTTTTGTTACAATTTTCATCTTCTTTTTTTTCACTTTGAATGTGAGAAATTTTTTGAAAACAGGAGACCTTATACATTCTTACATTCTTATATGTCATTGAAATTCTAATAACCGTAATGTTTTTAACATAAAAAAGATTTGTCTTCTCTCAAAGGTGATTAGGATAATATATTTTGGAACAAGTTTTCTTTTTTAAGCTTTTATTGGAGGAGTCTTCCATGCATGCTGCCAAAGGAAGACTTGGTAAGTCATTTAGTGTACTGTCACCATTTAAGCAAACCAAGGACGTTCTATGCACGCCCTGCTTATACAATAATTTAAGATGAATCAAGTAGAAAAGTAAAAATATCAGTATTTTATTAATATAGTTAACATATCTCAGACATTTGAGTAACCTTTGATTTGATCTATTGCTTCAGAAAACTAAGAGTCATATAACAACATAAAATACAACATCATAGGTATTGTGTCACTAACATGACTAATCATAATCTAAACTAATGGATGCCATTTTCTTTCACCTCTTCTCCAGATTTTTCAGAAGCTTCAACTTTTTCATCTTTGACTAACTCTTTCTTTTCATTCTCTTTCTTATCCTCCTTGGCCTTTTTCTCTGCTTCCTCTTCTGCCTTCTTCTTGGCCTCTTCAAGAGACTCAATCAAACTCTTCAAGCAGATTTCTGGATCTTCATCAGCTGATTTAGGCATTAGATTCTCAGCTACATCAGCAGGTGAAATATTGGTCTCTCCCATCAACTTCTCAATAGTGGGAAACAAACTGTGTGATTCAACCTCCAAGTAGTTCTTGGCCAGCACCTTGAATGCTTCATAGCCACAGTATGACATTTCTATGTGCTTGTCCATCCTTCCCCTCCTTATGAGAGCAGGATCAAGCTTCTCCACAAAGTTTGTCGTGAAGATTATGATCCTCTCTCCACCACACGCTGACCAAATCCCATCAATGAAATTCAACAACCCTGATAGAGTCACCTTACTTTCCTTCTTCTCTTCTTCCTCAGCTTTCTTCGCAGGATTATTTTTCTGCTTCTCCTCCTCATCCTCATCTTTCTTCTCCTTCTTCTTCTTCCTTTGCCCAGTCAGATCAAGAGAGCAATCGATGTCCTCAATCACTATAATCGACTTGCTTGATGTTTCAATCAACAACTTCCTTAACTCGGTGTTCTCCTTCACTGCTGTCAGTTCAAGATCATACACATCATAGTTCATGTAATTCGCCATAGCAGCTATCATGCTTGATTTCCCAGTTCCTGGGGGACCGTACAGTAAGTATCCTCTCTTCCAAGCCTTCCCTACTTTAGCATAGTACTTTTCTCCTGTCTTGAACCTCTCAAGGTCCTTCACTATCTCTTCCTTCTTCTTTGGATCCATTGCAAGAGTGTCAAACCTCGACGGATGCTCAAAATTCACATGACTCCACTTGGTACGTTTCCAACCATACCTGTCGGAAATAATCCAAACATAAATCTAAGTTTGATAAAAATCCAAAAAAACATGATCCATACCAATCGTTACTGGGGTTGTTGGTGTACAACTTGAGCTTCCTATTGTCAACTGCAATGGCTCTTCCTTTCTTCAACACATGTTGGATGTAAGAGGTGGTGATGAGGTGACGGTGGCGCCTGTGAAACGTTAGGGTTAGAAATCTCTTCTCTTCTGAAGAAGGGTAGAATGAGAATGACTGTGTTCTTGGGAGTGTGTAGTTTGCACTCCACCACAGTCTAACACCGTGGAACTCATCTGTGATCTCTTCATTGTCGTCCATGGAAAGCACCACAGAGTCTTGCCTACCCTGGTCAACTTCAGCTTTGAGCCTTTGTGCTCTTTGAGAAGAGTTTGCACTGAGGTAGGTTCTTATGGCAGTGTATGCTTCACTTCTCTTCAACCTTTCGCCTGAGAACTCAGGAAAGGAGATTTGGATGTAAGGGTACATTAAGCGTGTGAATCTTTGTGTGTATTTTCTGACATAGACTCGAAGGTGGTGTGGGAAGAATTGCTCATACATGGCATACACAAACATTATGGTAGCCATGAGTGAACCTAGTTGAGACCATAATTCACCCATGTCTCTCATTTTTTCTTTTCCAGAGATTCTGTTCTGTTTTCTGCTTTTCTCTGGTTTAATAGAGAATATGCATGGAATTAGTGTGGTATTAATAGAGTCAGATAGTACCATAAGGAAAATAATTTTGTGAACTTAAAGAATCGTGTGAATGTTTTTATGGGTAATGTGTTAATTAAAGTAAATAAATTTTTATAATTATATAAAAAATAATTGACAAAAGTGGTGGATGTGAACACAGAAATATGAATTTGTTGTGATGTGACACATATTTGGACTCTTTCAAATTTGTTTTCACCTTTAGATAAAAAATAATTATATTTTTACATATTCGAAATAGACAGTTAATATATTAAATGTTAAATGATTTTTTTAATTGGTGGGTATAGAAATATTCCTTCACTTTTATCAACAAAATTCTTGTTTTTCTAATATTTATTAAAAAAATCATTAAATGTAAGTCAAATTTAAAAATTAAAATAATTAATCAATATATTAATTAAGTTAAATAGTATTTTATAAATTAAAAATTATTAATATTTATTAACAAAAAGAAGAGGAAGTTCAACAAATAGTTTTGATGATAATAATGATATATGAAGAACCAGTGAAGAATTAAACAATATGTTGATTCAAGAAAATAATTTAGTTGCTGAAGACTTAAAAGTTGTGTATTGTATTTAAAACAGTAGTTAAAGAGTCAATAGGCAGAAACTAAGCACTCAAATAAAATTTTACTTTTCATAAAATCTATGAGATAATCAATTATCACAATTAATTTCAGAAAAACCTTCTAGAATAATCAATTATCATTGCTGCTAATTGATTATCACAACCAAAAAATAAGTTTTTAAATAATTTCTCGTAGTAGTTGCGAAATGAACTCTTCAATTTTTTACCTAATTTTCAAAATATATAAATATTTAACTTAAACATGGTTTCAAAAAAACTTTTCACTTAGGTTTAAGAGTTATGTGCTAGAAAAACTCAGTATGTTTGTGAAAAAGGAGACTTCAAAAAAACCTAGTATGGGTAGAGCGAGAACCTTCACACAGTGTGTCTAGTGTTGAGTGTTGTTGTTATTGCTATGAAAGTTATTCATCCTTTGTGTGTCGAAGGAGGTGTTATTCATCATTTGTGTGTCGAAGGATGTGTTATTCATCCGCTGAAATTAGAAGAGCTCAATATGACGTAAAAGAAAGAAACATAATGTCATATGTCTTAACTCTTGATGAGTTTTGCAAGATTTTTGTTTGTAAAAGTGCTCATGAAATGTGGGAAGTTTTGAGAGTGACACATGAAGGAATAAATTATGTAAAGCGTGCACAAAAGAATTCATTGATACAAGAGTATGAAATGTTCAAAATGCAACAAGGAGAAACAATTTATGACGTGTATAAGCACTTCACACATATCGTCAATCATCTCACAAGCTTGGGTAATACTTTGAAACTAATGAAATTAACATAAAAATTTTGAAATCGTAGAACAGATTTTGGCAACTTAAAGTGACTGCAATAACAGAGTCACAAAATCTTAACACCATGTCTATGGCGGCCCTCCTTGGTAAGTTGAAAGAACATGAACTGGAACTTGGACGATTGAATAAAGAAGACGACAAAGGAAAGAGAAAGAACTTGGCCTTTAAATCTAAAGTTGGAGGCGCAAAAGCCCCAAAGAAGATGAAGACTCACATAAGGAAAATTTGAGTCACATGATCAGAAAATTCAAAAGTTCATGAAGACCAAAAGTAAGGAACAATTTAAAAATGACAGGGAGGAGAAACAAGGATCTTCTCAAAGTATAGGTGTTACAGTTGTAGAGAAAAATGACATGTTAATGCAAATTTTCCAAGCATTAAAAAGGGTAAAGAAAAGAAAGAAAACAAATGTTTGATGAAGAATAAAGCTTATATCGCTTAGGAGGATAATGATTCAAGCTTCTCAAGCTTAAGCGATTCTGATGAGGAAGTAAACCTCTGCTTAATGGCCAATAATGAATCATTTGGAAGCCAAGTATTTCTAGTTGCAATAATGATTATGAAAAACTAGATATTTCTCATAGGAAATTGAAAAAGGATTTTAAAGAATTACAGGTAAAATTTGAAAAAGCTAATGAAGAGGAAGTTTTAAAAAATAAAATTTTTGATCTAGAAAAGAAAAATGTCTCAAATGCTAAAAGTGAGTCAGGTAAGAGTCACATGTTTGATATTAATATTCTAGAGAATTTGCTTAAAGAGGCAACTAAAAATAAAAATGTTACAAAACCCAGACTTAAGAAAAATATTTTTAAAAATAAAAATGCTCCTAAATTTAATAATCAAAATAAAAGAACTCATAGGGTATAGGTTGAAAAAGGAAGAATGTATTCAAGGAATCAAAATGTTGTCACTTTCTTTTAAATGTATGAAAAAGGGTCAAATAAATGTAGAATAAAACATTTTGATGTTCCTAATGGACAATATGTTTGGATTCCTATTATAAAGTAATCTTTTACTAACCTTAAAGGACCAAAATAAGATTTTGGGGACAAAAATTATTTTGTTTTATTTTGCAAGTTAAAATTCAAAAATCAAGAAAGACTCTATGGTATCTTGGTAAGTTTTATGAGTCTTGAAAAAATTTAGGGATATTACATATGTCTTAAAGGCTTAAGAATAACTAAAATTTGAGTTTTCTTAAAATTCACATGTAGATAATCAATTATCAAGGTCTTAAAATATTCATTTTGGTTCTAGAATAATCGATTACCAAGTGCGATAATTGATTATCCCTACACAATCCCAAAGTACAAATTTTACTCTAGAATAATTGATTATCTAAGGTGATAATTGATTATCTTAAGTTCTAGAACAAAATAAGGTTTTTTTTAATCTTAAGAATCAGTTTTATATTTAGAGGGAATTACTTTTCCTAGAAAGATTTATTTTAGTAAAAAAAGGAGAATATTACATTTAGGGGAGTAAACTTTTAATGATTGATGAAAAGCTAAATTATAATCAAATTAACGAATTTAGGGAAAACATAAAGATTATATACTTCTTTATTGCGATAAAAAAAGGGGAGAAATAATTTTGGTTGTCATCTTATGAGAAATATTTGGGTTGACTCTTTGTGATTGTACCTATTTGAGGGGAAGATATATGAATATGTTGATATCTTGTTGTTTATTCCATTGTGGGTTAACTACTTTTTTCTCTTAAGTTGTTGATTAAGAAACATATCATAAGTCTTCAACAATTTTATGATCATAAAAAAAGAGAGAGAAATTGTTAGCAAAAGAAGATGTTCAATAAAGAGTTTTGATGATGATACTTGGACACATGTTAAATACTTAAAGAATGTCTTGATTCAAGAGATACATTGAGAACTGAATAATTTAATTGTTGAAGACTTGTAATTTATTATCATTGTTGGTAATCGATTATCCCAACGAGGAAATAATTTTTGAAATAGTTTCAGGAATAATCATTAATGAACTCTTTATTTTCTGACCTAATTTTCAAAATATGAGTCTATAAATATTTAACTTAAACCTAGTTTCAAAAGAGCTTTTCACTCAAAGGTTTAAGAGTTGTGTGCTAGAGAAACACTATGTGTTGGTGAAAAGGGGGCATTGAAAATCTAGTATGGATAGAGCGAGAACTTTCACTAAATGTATCTTTGATTGAGTGTTGTTGTTGTTCCTAGGAAAGTTGTTCATCTTTTGTGTGTTGAAGAAAGTTTTATTCATCCTTTGTGTGTCGAATGAGGTGCTTTCTAACCTTAACTTTATTCTTTGGGATTATAAGTTCTTGGTTATTTTTAGTGTTAGGTTAATCTTTCTTTAAGAGAGATTAACAATTGGAAATACAACCTTTTGATCCAAACTAGTATGAAATACATGTGCAAATTCTCTCTTTTCCTACACTCTTTATCTTTATTATTTTTAATTATAAAGAATCACTTTTATTTATAAAATCAATTTATAAAAAAGAAATTTTTTTTAAAAGGCACATTTTTATTAAAGAAATTAATTCACCTTCCTCTTGATTTTTTTCCACACGCAAACTTTCTAAAGGTAAGTTCTAGGTTTTTTTTTACAAAAGTAGGCAAATTTGATAGGAAAATTGCAAGAATAGATAAATTTTTTTAAAATATGAGAATAGGCAAGTCATATAGCTCCCACACAATTTCAAATGAAGAAATCCTACACCCCCACACAATTTTAGTTTTTGTGTTGGTTAACATGCAATCAACTTGGAAGTCGTCAAACACCCCAATAACTTCCAATTACATTTCATGAAAGTGGTCCTTGTGTAACTAATAATCGAGTTGACCTCGTGGAGCTCGAAAAGAGACATAGAGAGCTCGGTGGAGCATGTGAAGAACTTGGTGGAGCATATGGAGAGCTCGGTGGAGCATGTGGTTTGCTCGGTGGAGAGTTGTTTTGCCTTTGAATGACTTTTTATTGAAATTAAAAGTCATCAGCCCAACCACCCCCTCTCCACTCATGGAACCCGAAAAGTAGTGTAGTCAAAATGGGTTGGAACACATGAGCCAACTCGACCTACTATAAGTTCGGGACAAGTTGGGTTGAAAAAAAATATTGAAATTTTGATACGGGTGAATTTTGAACTGATTCACTAAGAACCCAACTCACTAACCCACCTAATGTTTTAATAAGTACTTTTTGTTGGGTTAGCCATTTTATAAAATATCGAAATGGGGGCTCGCGAGAAATTATTTTTGTATGTAATAATTAGGAAACATGGAAAATCCACAAATCTAAACTTAGTAACTCAATATTTATGGAGAAACAAATTTGAATTGCTATGAAATTAAAAATTTTGTTGAGATTTTGTGATAATCATAAATCTAATTTAAGACCTTTTTCCTTTATTTAATATTGAATTAGAAAAATTTTGTTAGTTTTTTAATTGAAAAAAAATTTATAATTAAGTGAACCAGATTTTGGATCATTAAGTGACCAACCCGTGGTAGGTCGAGCCACATCGAACAAGATGACTCGTTTTGATAACACTGTCAAAAAGGGACAAGAAGAGCTTGGTGGAAGTCATTCAGGAGGATTATTCTTGGAGCAACACAACTTCAAATTTTCAT